ACCCTAAAATAAAAGTTGTGAATTTTTTACTATCTGTGATATAGAACAACTTAGACTTTCTTTTAGAAATGCTTTGTAGGTGGTCACAGTGGTTTTTGTTGCCTTTGTGTCCATGTTTCACTCTTTTTGACTCACAGGAATACATTAGGATGACACAGAAGATGCCACAGTCAGTGCTGCTTCCAGCTTGCAGTATTTACAAATGATTCCACTTGTCATCAAAGTATATTTGTTATTAAATAGTAATCAGTTGAATAAGCCATCTGTGGCTTCTCTTAATACATGTCAATGAGAACGACAAAAAATGTTACTAAGAATCTTTATTGTACTGTATATGTTGAAGTGAAATTTTGCCTGATACTCTTCAGCAGAGAAAAAGGCTTTGATTTGTATATTATAGCTGTACAACTTAGTGCACTTACTGAAGCTTGGGCTCTTAAGATTGAATTTCTTTAATGTGACTTTCGCACCCTGGGAACAATTTCTACTGAAACAAACTTCTTGACGATGCAACTGTAAAATTCAGATTTGACTGTTTTCTTTGAAATATACCTGATATGATGAAATTAATAGATATTTATGGTGGTTAATATTTTCTTAGAAATGAATGAGAGTTGTTTTTTTTAGTCCCTAAGATAAATTAACGTTCTACTATACATACATTTGTTTTGAAAAGCTCATGTTCTTTTTATGCCCGTCACTGAATGAAAATTTGAAGTCAAAATTTCCTAGAAGTAAATCATTTTTCGCTTTAAAAGTTGGCTCTGGGCAACGCCTTTCTTACCTATCCCTAATCTTTTGAAGTTAAATTGAGGGAGTACAGCCATACCTTTCTGTAACATACCCTGCTGTTACTTTGAGAGATGGAGCATCCTGTACAATCAACCTGACTTATGTTAAGTTACTGTGAGAATTCTGCTATGGTGACCTGGAGCAGCCACACTAGGCACAGAGTATCTCTGGGTTCATATAAAGAAAACACATGCCAATCAGTTGAAAGTAAAATTGCAATATAGGAAAATTTTGTCTTTATTTTGCTTTCTCGTGTACTTACTTTTCCCCTGGCAAATGTTTGTTTTGACCCACTGAAAGCACCTTTATTACTTCCTTGCTTTATAATCCTTTCCCTGTATTCGAACAGGAAAGAATCTGACATTTTACATGAACTAAAACTCAGTCATACTGATGTTTTATTTTTCTTTGGCAATTGTATTTTAAGTCTTTTATCTTCAATTATAAATGAAAAATTTATTTCCCAATATAGGAATTTCAGATATCAGTGGGAAGCTTTATGTGGAGGCAGAGAAGCTTTCCTAAATCTTGAAATCATACTAAGCCTCAGGTTAATTCTGGAGCTACTTTAGGTGTTTTACAGTGTAGGAAAAAGAAGCCTGATTCAGAAGGGATTATAATCTTTCTCTTCCCTTTTTCTTGATAAGAATGAGCCCTAGAGATCACCGATTGGAGTCTATTCCAATTGCTAATTATTTGTTTATTTATTTATATCAGTATATGTATTGCAGTAGCTTTCAGTTCTAGAACCTATCTAGCCTGGAAACAGATTTACTGAACTGGCTAATTCCATCCCTTAGCGCCAAGGCTTCTTGTCTTTGCTTCCTGCTGGGCTCTCATTGTCTCTGTACAAGCAACATTCATAGCTGGGGCCAGGGATTCTGCTACCCATAGCCTGTTATATCTTAGGAGATGGGGACAGGGATCAGATAATAAGATAACTGTATTGTTTATGACTACATGGCCACAGATTCATCACTTTTATTTGAGGTTAGGGTGATGGTAAATCAATCACGTTCCCATATTGGAGAATTAATAGAATAAAAAAAGAAATTTAAAATGTGGCTTGAGGCCGGGCGCGGTGGCTCACGCCTGTAATCCTAGCTCTCTGGGAGGCCGAGGCGGGCGGATTGTTTGAGCTCAGGAGTTCGAAACCAGCCTGAGCAAGAGCGAGACCCCGTCTCTACTAAAGTTAGAAAGAAATTAATTGGACAACTAAAAATACATAGAAAAAATTAGCCGGGCATGGTGGCGTATGCCTGTAGTCCCAGCTACTCGGGAGGCTGAGGCAGGAGGATCGCTTGAGCCCAGGAGTTTGAGGTTGCTGTGAGCTAGGCTGACGCCACGGCACTCTAGCCTGGGCAACACAGTGAGACTCTGTCTCAAAAAAAAAAATGTGGCTTGAATATATAAACATAATTATTAACTACAGATATTTTATATGAATTACTGTTACTTTCAAACCCGATTATTATATTACATAATAGCCATTATTATGTACATTGTTAAACTTTATGTATATGCCTCAGCAGATGTTCATGTGACTTAAATTTTTGTTTGTTATAATTCCACAGTAAAATTTAGAAAGTAGAGAAAAAAAGAATATGCTCAAAATCCTACCATCAAACATAATGACTGATAGCGCTTTGATATATTTTTATTGTAGTTTGGTTTTTTTTTACGTGGATATAATTATATGTTTATATCTAATTTTGAAAAATGTACATCCCCAGCCTGGCATGGTGGCTCATGCCTGTAATCCCAGTAGGAGGCCGAGGTGGGCCTCTAAAAAAAATAATAAAAATAAAAACATATATCCCAACCATTTCTGGACTAAATTAGTCTAATTAGAATAAGACTAATTCTATAAGCCTTCCATGAAAAATAGATGTTATATTTTAATTACAATATTGGTACATTATGGTTTGATATTATATTTTAATCTTAATAGCTGTTGCTTATACAGTATAGATCCCTGTTCCCATTTATAAAAATTAGAACTTTCTTAATAAGGCTTTTGCTTAACTGCTAAGGCTGTCAGCTAATTTTTTTTTTCTTTTTTTTTTTTGAGACAGGATCTTGCTCTCTCACCCACGCTGGAGTGCAGTGGTACAATCCTAGCTCACTGCCACCTTGAACTCCTAGGCTCAAGCGATCCTCCTGCCTCAGCCTCCTGAATATCTAGGGCTATAGCCCTACATCACCATTCCTGGCTAGTTATTTTTTTATTTTCAGAGATGGGGTCTTGCTATATTGCCCAGGCTGGTCTCAAGCTCTTGTCCTCAAGGGATCCTCCCACCTTGGCATCCCAAAGTGCTGGGATTATAAGCATGAGCCACTGTGCCAGGCCCCTGTTGGCTAATTTTTAAATCATCTATTTGAGAAATTGACATTTACTCTTTTCTGCCTGCATTTCTTTCGTCTGTAGTCTCAGATGATGAGAGAATAAAATCTAGAAAATGTGTGGCCAGTGATTAATGAATTAAATGTTTACAAAAGAACGTCTAGCCCAGGTTTTAATTTACTGACCAGCTTGGAATTTCACATTATTCATTTCCACTAAAAACTTTCAACCCTAGTCTAGAAATGATGAGGTTTGAAAATGGAATTTTGGGATATGTGGAGCTAACACCAGAAGCAGAACTAGAAGTGAGATCTAACGTGATTTGGCTAACTCGGTAGCCAAATAGGATTTAAAATGAAAAAGAAACCTTGAATTTTGTACCCATAATGAGCATATCTAAAAAGTATGATTTTTTTTCCTACTGCTATAAAGTAGAAAGGTTGAAAGAGATAGGTAGTTTTTTTGTACTGTTCCCCAGGGCTTATGTATGTGTACATAATGTGGAAAGATTTGTAATTTAAAAAAATATTTCAGATTCATATGAAAGCCACTGAGGCTATATTGTTTTAAAAATAAATTTTATTAACCATAAATATGTTATAAAAGGCAATTAAATGTGATACTAATTGTGTAATTGAATTTGCTTAGAGTATGAGAAGAAAATTGGGAAGTGTGTATAATTAAAAAGACATCCCATAGCTTCTCGATAGGAAGCATTACAATAAGTAAACTTGATGCTTTGGTTCTTACCTTGTATGGATAGAGCAACTTGCTGAGCTTCGTCAGGAGTTTCTTCGACAAGAAGACCAGCTTCAGGACTATAGGAAGAACAATACTTACCTTGTGAAGAGATTAGAATATGAAAGGTAAGATGCTACATGCAACAAATATTTATGAATCTAAAATATTTGTCCAACTTTTGGACCTAATTCATTTCTACCTTTCTGACTTTTGTTTTTCTTCTCTTCTTTCATTTTCTTAGGTCTTTTAAATTTCTTTCATCTTTCTATGGCTCTTTGAAATCCATACTCTTTTATTTTGATATGTTAAACACCATGAAAATATCTCTTACAGGGCATGTTGAGTTTGTCTTATGTTGTAGCGTTCATCGTAAGACAGAAAATCTTACAGGCTCTGAGTTTTATTGAATTAGATGTGGCAAAGACCAAAAGAAGATTCTGTGATTCTTTTTGAAGGGACATCCAGAAGATGAAGCCAGCACTAGGAGATGTTCCCAGAATAGCTGAGGGACTGAGTGATAGCTGCTTCTCCTGCTCTGCACTTCAGCTCTTGTTCACATCTGTACCCCACCTTGTAGGGCCCTTTATAGCAATCACTCTTTAAAATTTTTTATTATATTTTTAATCAGTTTTACTGTAAAAGGTATTTTTTAGGGCTGTACACCAAAAATTAGGATTTGCCATATTTTAAAGCATTGTTTATCCATTTCTTACTTCTTACTGGTATAGTTTATTGATATGTATCTACTAACATACATGTATTTTAACAATATTCAGTACTTTTCCATGTATCTGTACAATTAAAGATTTAACATATTTAGAGGTAATATATTATTCTAGTATATTAATGTACCAAAACTTCTTTAGTCTCCCCCAATTGTGGGACCACTGTAGGAGTTTTCCTTTTTTTATTATTAAGACTATTACAGCTATAAGAATTTTTATGTAAAAAAGATTTCCCCCTTTATATTATTTCATTAGTATTTATTTTCAAATGTAGAATTCCTCAGGAAGAATGTTTTACCAATTTTGTTGCTCTTACAGCATAGATAAAATATTGCTTTCTAAAATGATTGTTCTAATTTATAATGTAGATGTTACCCCATAGCCATACCAACTTTGGTTATAATTCTAATTTAATTTTGCTAATATAGGAATAAGGTACTACCATATATACATATAAGAAGTTTGATTTGCATTTTATAATGGTGAAATTTAACATTTTCTATGTATTTATCAACTGAATGTTTCTTCTTGCATGAATGATCTATTTGTATCCTTTGACTGCTTGCCCAGCAGAAAGTCACCATATTTACGTGTTTTGCTCCTATTCATTTTCTCTTGATGGCACCACTTTATCTTCTGTATTAGTTTCTTCCATTCCTGTTATTCTCTGGTTCAGCCTTTTGTTACAGTGTTTTAAGTGCTAACTATTGGGTGAATCATCCTCTGCCATTCTTTATCAACTCTCTTAATTCTAGTTTTTCTCATCTATTACTGTAAATTGGTCTCAAGGTTTTCTATAGTGTTTTTCTCTTCTGTAATTGAAGTTGGTTTTGACAGTTGTTTCTATATAAATGCAATTTGTAAAAATAATAAAAATGCAATTTATAAAAAGATTGTTTTCATCTAATTTCTGTTTCCTCAATTAGCTTTATCAGTCATCAGTATTCTTTGTATCCTATTAGAGGTTCAAATATTTAAAAAATTTTGACTGAGAGCTATTTGTCTGCTCTTTGTTCTTCCGTGTCCACTCTCCTCTATTGACTGAATGTTTTATCTTTCTAAATGTATGTGTCAACTTCTAGACAACTTTGAGAATCCAATCCAAGGTAATATAATCTAAAAGAATGACTTTATAATTTAGTTTTCAGTGTGGACAGCAGATCAAGGAATTAAGAGCACAACATGAAGAAAATATTAAAAAGTTAGCAGACCAGTTTTTAC